AGGGAAGCTACTGCCTTCACGAAGCCGAGCACGGTGCGAATTGTTATTCGGGAAGATTCGGTCACTCATGCCAGAATGACATGCATAGTGAGAGGTGCTCTTGTCTTCCTTCACTTTCAAGCACCACTCTTCTCAATCGGTCTCCTGTGCTGACGAACGGAAGCAACATATCTGCCTATTTGAACGAAACCAGACACCCACCGTCTGTTGTGGACCACTTGGCAGTGCCTCGTGCAGCCTTGCAATCATAGTTTGTGCGGCAGAATGACAGTTCGCTTTCCTCCCCTCCCTCCCTCCCTCCGCTAACACAACAGAAGGGACTCGTCAGAACAAGCACATGGTTGAGCTTGCCACAGAAGGCGGCAAGGCGAACAAACAGACCATGTTGGAAGGCGGCGTGACTCGTGGCAGAAATTGCATCCAATTTTTGCGATATCTTGTAGTGACACTAAAAGTCCAACAAGTCTGTGTAACCGAGACGAGTGGCCAAATATGAACCCGTTTGACACATAAAATTTACCAACGCGTTTGGATCCGTGGGCGACGTAGTTAGCATTAGAAATGAAAACATAAATCACCAAATTGAGGCGACTTTAAATGTGGATTGACATTTCAGCGGTGGTGCAATGACGGGGTAAAATTGGACCCGACATTTCTTTCCCGCCGCTCTCACCAGTCGCCTCAACTCCAAGCCCCGCATCTGACAACAATCACCCCACAGTTTGCCACACTGCAGCCTCTGTGGGTAAATGACGGGCTCAACATCTCCCAACTTCGCCAATGATCGCACGAATAGGCATTTCGTTGTGCAAAATGCTGCAACCGCAAAAGGATGGCGAGACAATGCTACAAAGGGATGCGGTAGGTGCAACCAAAATCCTGCAGCAATGTGGGCGTATTGTTGCACGTGCTCCCACGCCTTTGATGGATGTGTTGTCGAGTTGTGGGGCATGATTGCACCACGGTTGCAGGTGGGCACAACTGTTGTTGCTGTCAATCGTGTCTCCTTCATTGCTAACCAATCAGAAGTGGCGAATCGCATTTTCCAACTTGACAGGAAAACAAGCATTCAAAAGTGGTGTAGGACGAGTTTTACTGGCTGCTGCTCACGTCAAAACTTAACACCAACGTGACCTGTCCGATAATGCGTCCGTGGTGCTGCACTTTGCCATTCCAATGCTGCACTGACGCCTTCAGTATTTCGGTGTGTGCAGATAAAAGAGACTCGCGTCGCAGTAGCCTCTCCCAGACTTTTCCATTGCACCCCCAAAATGTTACAGCTTTGAAGACAATTTCAAAGAGGCAAATCATTTCGCCTCCTTTCGCCCTTAGCCACGCTCTAGAGAGGAGATTTGAAGACGACATCCCCTTCCACAAAATCACAAATGAGGATGGTCCACAGTAATTTCAGTTTTGCCCTCAACCCAGCGCTCAAGGAAGAACAAAAAAATTAAAATGGCACTCCTAATTTGTGTTTTTGTGGAGGTAATAATTTACGATGTTATGCATCTCACGCAACGACTGACGCCAACAACAGCTTTTCTTGCGTCGAGACAACATTCCACATTGCACTTCCTCGAATTATCCGTCCAAGTTTTACGAATGCACCAAAAGTCGCACCGTGTCCAGTCTGTGGCGCTCCACTGCACTGATGCGCGACCGCAAACTTGAAAACGGTTTGCTACTTCAAGACAAGGAATGCCCAAATCGCACTTCATCAGAAGCTGGAAAGGCCTCGTGAAAGGCGAGGCTGCGATCGGAAGATCTCCTTTAATGAAATGCGGACTTCTTTGATGAACATGAGAAGGCAGGCGGAATGGGAAATGGGAATTTGTGGTAAAGAGGGCACAAACGATAGTCCGAAAGGTCTTCACGTGTGCAACCAAAAAGTGACCGTTTTGTGCTCCCCTTCAACCAGTGACTGCATCCACTCACGTCTGTCTGCGTAAAAGCATCGCTGTACTGTACTGCAACTGGCGAAGGCGACTGACAATGACGAGGTTGTCCTTGCGTGTCCTCCAGGTGGTGCGCAAGCACAGCACCACATTTCATCAGCAGTGTCGAACTTGCAGCACCGCACAGTGAACGGACCGGAGAGGTGAGGCGACGTGAAACCCTCACTTTGGCGACTTAAGCGTCGGCTCTAGAGAATTTCGTGCGCTTGGATGAACATGTTGAATGGCACGTGCATCGAAAGTACGATGCTTACGTGTCTCCTTCATGCACCCACGCGTCATCAAATCTATTGCACACTCTGCACAGCATTG